CGCATCTTTTAAACTTTCTTGCATGACGATGCGCGTAAATATAAACGTTCTCTATAGCCTTGAATTTTTCGAAAAACAACCCCCGCGAAATTCTTTTCTTACAACCAACGAAACAGTTCTTAAATTAGAAGTGACGTAACGTCTTGTGTTGTGAAATTATCGAATCTACTAGGAATTATCAATTCTTAGAGGAACGGAGACACTGTAATTTTAAAATTTTCTCGGTATTTTTTATTTATCATTATTGCCGAATTATTTTTAAATTTCAGCCTAAAATTAATACTCGAATCTACGAATGAAGATTACTTGACAAAAGTCGAGTTACACTTTTCGTGTAATAATTTATCAGTACGAATCGCCATGGCAGTAATAAAGCAGAATAAATTTTGGATGGGGTACAGGGCACGTGTTTCATGCTGCGGGCCAATTGTTAAATGGAACGTGAACTTCGTTCAAATAACAATTTTCAATTTCATGATAAATTCATTTCCATCCCGTATCTTGTTCTACATAATACATCTATGCCGACAATGTTGCAACCTATTCTCTATCCTTACGTTTACATATAACCAATTTCTCTCTCTCTCTCTCTCTCTCTCTCTCTCGAAAATTATGTGGATTAAATTGAATATCTGATTAAATTATATACAACATTCAATAGACAAATATTTAAATTCCAACGACCAACTAAATACACTTCAATGGTTCAATAATTAATTTATAAAAATTAAATCAAACTTCTTCTCTGATATTATTAATTATCTTAGATTTAAAAAAAAAAAGGATTGACAAATAATAATTGCTATTGAAATTAATGTCATGTCACGAATAAAGTTAGATCGACGTTTCAAAAAAAGATGGCAGACATCTCAGTTTTTTGTTCTGCTTGTTCCACAGACCCGGAAATAACAACAATATCGACGGGATAAAATGACGTCGATCATAACAGATTATCCGAGCAACGTCATAAGTCAACTGGGGAGTGCTGGGACCTTCTATCACACTCAGACAGGATGTAACATTGAACTTAACTGGCTAATAACCTCCGGCTATATCCAATCCATAGACAAACTTTTCATCTTTCGTTCCATTAAATTTGCAACAGTGAATTATGCAACAGTGTCTCTCCTCCCCCCTCCCTGTTGCTCCATCGAACATTCATAAATGATCGGCTCGATTCGAAATTCGGAAACGAGAGTTTAAACGATTCGTGTAACGCGTTCAATTGTTCCGCGTAACAATGTTGCACAGAGTTGTATTTCGTTACGTGATACTCTACGGTACACGCTCGTTCGTATCGAACAAGCGCAACAAAGTTATGGAACCATTGTTAACACTTGGTGTCACGTGTAACACGTCTGTGGTTAAACACTTGTCACTGCATTTTTTTTCTCGTTGATAAAAAATGACGTGTGCGTGTGGGTACGACAAGTATGACAGATGACGAGGGTCCAGGCCTCATAAACGATTTGCAGACGGGACATTTGCAAATGCGACAAACGGTGTGCAATTTCTCAATGATGAAAGATGATCCGATATACGGTTTGAATACGGATTTTCCCCGATGGTCAGTTCCAGAAATATTTCAATTTCGTATTATTTTCAATGATTTTTTTAATTGAAAAGACAAATGACACGTGATTATATAATTAATTCAAATTTAGGCACGATATTCCCCATTTGTAAAATGCAATATATAATCATCACACCTTTCGTTCTAAAATCCTAAAAAAATTACACTTATTACACTTTAATCAGTTTTAAAATAAATTACATACACTTTCTACGCTTTCTTCTTCGAACAAGACCGTTTCTCGTTACCCGAAAGACAAGAAGAATACAATTCCAAGAACGCATTGCTCGTTTCCAATATATTTATCTCCTCCTCCCTCCTAAAAAAAGAATACAATTCACGCACACGAGCGCATAAAGATGCAAATAAGAGGACAAAACATCGAGAGAGGCTGAAAACAACTCTTTTGTTTCAAAAGCTTAATAAATATTCGTTAACGTGGATGCGCGACGAAAGCGCGCTTTTCACGCCGGAAAAAATGGCGGATTAGCGACTGCAGCGCTCTCGTAAAAACTCGATTTTCGCGCGGACAAACCGTCCTTCCTGTGATCGGTTTACCCGCTACCCACCCTCCTCTTTATCCTTTTGTTTCTTTTTTTCTTTTTTTTTCCCCCCTCCTCCCCCCCCTCTCCATGTTTTTGTATCCAGCATCCGAGAGGATCCGCCACTATCGCTTCCGCCGATCGTAAAAAAGCCGCGATTTAACAAGCCACGAAAACTCGTCCGCGCGAATTCATCGAGTTTCAAGCGGGCAAACTGGGCGAAGAGAGAGCGAGAGCGAGAGAGAGAGAGAGAGAGAGAGAGAGAGAGAGAGAGAGAGAGAGAGAGAGAGAGAGTTCTTCCGGGATCGAATTTTTTTTTTGTATATTCCAACACCGCGGCCACTTCCTCTCGTTATATGTTTCACGGCCTTTCTTTTTTTTCATTTTATTTTGTTTTATTCCTTCCCTTTTTTTTCTTTTTTTTTTTTTTTATCAATTTTTCAGCAATTGTGACGATAGCGGCCTGGAATCGTTTCACAGAGAGATAATGCCGTTTTCGTTGATATTTATACGCGGGTATGGAGTTTTGTTTAACGGAGGGAGGGGAATGCAAAGACTATTGTTCTGCTTTTCCGTGTTTAACTTGTGTTTGGACTTAGCCTGGATTTAAATTCTGGTTTAATTAAATTGGGGAGAAGAAGAGAGAATTTCGAGGATACTTTCTTTTTTTTTTTAGGAAGGTAGGAAGCCGCGATTTATTCTTTTCAGAAACTTTGTGACTTTGATAAAATGAGCTTCGAAGCTTTACCCCCGGAGACAAACACTTTTATTGTCTAGTTAATTAGGTAAATTAATATTTTACTGTTCTTGAGTTTCTTTATTTATGTCTTCTAAGTATATATATTGTAATATTCGATCTCGAAATTGAAATTACGTTTATTCTTCACGAACGATCCATTCGAACGCATGAATCTCAACAATCGAACCCAATCATTTATCCAATCCCACGATTTCTCTCTATCTTTGGACGAAAACGGAATTTTATTTCTAAAAATATATCAGTTTTTTTTTATCATAATCACGCGAATCAAGTTGGATTCATCGGAGACCGATGTTTATTTTCACATATATAAACGGATAACTTCCGTTTTCGTCATCTGGCGATCAGGAATCGCAATAAAGCGAACAAAATTATCCGATTCAACGTCAATATTTGAGTTTGAACGGAATTTGTCCAATCCGTTAATCTTAGGCTATTTTATCATAGTTTTATATATATATATATATATATATAATCATAAAATATATCATAATCACGATAACATGTCAATCTTTGTGTTATTTGCAATTAGTCGGTAGAAATTTATTCATATCTGTCTGCGGATTTCATTTGAAGTACAGATAATTTATTACACGAGCTATATATATTTTTATTTAAAAATAAAATATTGGTCTCTCTTGTAATCAGATGTTCTACTTTGATAATATGTATCCAAGATAAATTTATGTTGAAACAGTGGCAGTGCAATATTATTATCTTCATCCTCTTCATCCCGATTTAATTATTTGATTATAATTAAATCTAATCGTGCGTTTCATTTATTAGATAATTAAATAAGAAAGACTTCTCTTTTATTTTATACAAAAATATAACGCCAATTTTTGGCCCCTTTTTGTAATACGTTACAATTTAAAATGCAAACTTGCGAAACAAATTAATTACTCAATGATATTCCTCTTATGTTTTCTGACAATGTCCTCGTTTCTTTGAGCAAGATTTTATTAATTGTTATCAACTATGTTAATAGCTATGACTTTTCCACTTTATGGCATACGCGACGTAACGTGCAATTAAAAGATCAAACGCTGTAAAACAATCCTCGAATGAAAGATATATCTTGTTTTCAAACTGCGTTCTCTACATTTTTCCTTCTCCCCACTGAAATTCTCAATTGCCAAGTTTTCGAAAAACGCCAAGGATCGACGAAACGCGTCTTAACCCGATTTCACGTATGAATGAAATATTTTTAATTAATCAGAAAGCTTGCGGTGAACTTTGCTTCTTTCATTTGGAGGAAAGGCATCACATTCGTCGAGCTTGTTAACATTTGCAAATTTACATTTTCAGTCGGTAAACGAAAATTTAAAGAAGATATTCAAATTTGTTCTCTCCTTATAGTTCTCTTTTTTTTTTTTTTTTTTTTTCTAAAGTTTCATTCTTTCCACGAAGAAATTTCTTCATTTTGCGAGTGAAAATGGAGAGGAAAGCTCCAGCTTTTTGTTTATTTTCTGTTTTCTCCTTTTTCTTTCCTTTTTTCCCATTATTTATTCCATTATTAAAAACGTTTCGATATTTCAGAATTAAAAATATCGAGATACGTTTAATCATTTTTATAGAGAATGTTATGTAAATGTTATATAACATCTTTACATCACGTTTAAAAACAAAAATAAAATGCGTAATCGTTTCTTCCATACACGTGTCATAAATTTTTATAAATTCAAAATATTTTCTATGCAATAAGAATAACTTGAAACGTGGAATTTTAACTAAATAATTCTTGCGCATTTTTGTTAAAATTCCATTGTACAATACATCTCTATAAATATCCAGTGAATCTTTCTTCATGCAATCAATTGACATGAGATCACTTGTCTCGAACCATCTCTCATCAATATCTCGTCCTCAACAATAAATTATAGTTACACAAACACAATTACAGTTATACAATTACAATTAACAATCAAATATCTCCTCTCTAATATCCACTCCATTTTTATTCCATTTCATTTTTTATTTCAAACGATATGTAAATGTAAAATTCTATACTTTTTTTTAATAACACGTAAATCCATCCTCTATCCCTTTTTATAGAACAAAAATCCAGTAAAATTTCTCTCGAATAACGAAAGACAACGAAAAGAAAGAATTTATGAGCACTCACCAAGTATCAAGAAGTACACCAATATCCACTGCATCGGCTTCTTCATCGCGTCGATGCTTCCACCGAGACACTGAGGCAGGAAAAGTAAAATGGCGTTCGAGGTGAAATGAAAAAGAAAAAGAAAAAAAAGATATAAAAAAAAAAAAAAAAAAAAAAAAACAAAAAAGAAAAGAAGCGTGAACGCACGTTTACAAATTCTGTTTTCGATTTGCGTCAAGCGTACGCTCTCACCTATATTTAGGCGGCACAGCAATAATAGCACCGAACACGTTGAGGAAGGGAGGAACTGGAGAACGCCGAGGAAGCCGAAGAAACGTTCCGGGATTCGAATCTTTGACAGTTGACCACACACCACCGCGCACCTTCCTCTTCCGGTAGCGTGTTCGTTTCCCTCGAAATTTTCCGTTTCCAACAATTTTCGCGATTGTTTTCCTCGAAGAACAAACACGGATGTTTTGTTCCTTGAAAACCGCGTGGAATGTCGCTCGACTCGACGAAACCCGAACTCGAACAGTTCAAAGTGTGGATTTGTAAATAATTCTTTCCTTATTCGAGAGGAATTAACCCTCTTGAGATTTGCCAATGGATCCAACGTTAAATTAGAATGTATTAAATAAAACAGTTTTTGATAACTCGAATTGTTTAAATCAATCAAAGTAGTTAAACTGAAATTGATTGAAAAGATACAATAAATATTCTTTACCGCTTGTTTCAAAAATCTTAGACTTATCAACGCGGATAACAATGATAAAATAACACTACACCGTTCCTCGGTCAATCAAATTAAAATCCTATCTTGAACGAAGCTCCCTTCCAGGAGGGAGAAGAATCTGGTGGTTGAAAACAACGGTTGTCACTTGGCACTCGGAACCACGAAGCGAGAAGGAAACGAGAGACACTTGGTTAAGGGCACGAGATTAGTGAGTGAGAGAGGGCGCGAGGAGGAGGAGGAAGATCAACGTTCTTCAGGCATTGTCTATGCACGTCGAAGTTTGTCTGGAGCTGGCTGTTTGAACGATGGAGAAACGAAAGGGCGACTGGTTCACTCTGCTAATCCTCTGTCTCGCTCTCGGTCTCCTCGCTCCGTCCGCCTCCGCCTCTTCCGCCTCCACAACCTACTCCACTGACACCGACGTCGGTGTCGTCGTTTCTCTCTCTCTCTTTTTCTCTCTCTCTCTCTCTTCCTCTCCACGAACTCTTCCCCTTCTACGACTCCGCCGTCTTCGCGTGACGGCGAGGATTCACGATATTTTTGTATACCCCGTCGCGAACCCGATGACGAAGAGATTTACGGAGGAAGAGGAATGGAAACGATGCGAGCAAGAGGTCGAGGAGGCGTCCAACACGTACCTACCCTTCTGGTAGTGGAATTGTGAATGAGGTTCACAAGCGATCTTTCAATCTCTTCGTTGATAATCCAATGATAATTCGTAATGTTGAATATTTGTATTAGATTACTTTATAAATATTCTTGTGAAGTGATGTTTGAATTTTTTTTTTTCTTGTTGAGGTGAGAATCGATGGTAATTGGAAATGGTATACGGTCGCATGGGTTATTCTATAAATAACGAAGTTAATCTTGGAAGGAGGAATCTTTGTTAAGGTGAAAATCGATGATCGAAAGTGTATATAATTACCTTTGTGGGGAGAATTATATCTACGAGGTTGAATGCGATGAGATGAGAATTGTGCGTGCAATTAGATTATTCTTGAGGGGAGGGAGGTGAATGCATTGAAGTTATTCTTTGGTCTTTCTTCTTTATTAAGATTCCAGATTAATGAATGAAGATGCGATTGCGTGTTATTAATCAAGTTATTATGTAAAGAGAAATTTGATTACATTATGTGCACGTGATAAAACTTCCTCTTTGTATAACTGATTATTTGAATGTTTTATAGTTTTATAGTTTTATAATTCCATAATATAAACACTCTATAGTTCCTGAAAGAAAGATTTGCGAAAAGTATCGTTGCTTTAAAAAAAATTTGACTAATATGTTTAAATTTAAATTTAATGATTTAGAATCGATTAATAATTATACGAAACAACGTTATTTCTGATTGATTATTAACAATAGCCAGCATGACCATTAGGAGGATTCAGTCGACCATCAAGGGGATTTGTTACTTCGAAGTCAATGGAGATTCTCCCCCGTGGATCTAATTAGCACATGAAGCATCTGCGCCTGATTTGCATTATTGAACAATAATTCTACTCACCATCGAAATTCCCAATATCCGTCCAACTATGTTGTAAGGAATATCTTCCAATACAGGCATTTGTCCTTCTCATATGATATTCTTGATAAAAAGTTTTTCAAAGTATCTTTTCAATATGAATATTTTCGATTAATTGGAAATTTTATATGTATATGTATGTAAATTTTTAAATAGAAATTTCTGTAATGTCAAGCATACAAAGGATGATGATGAGAAGGGGTGTAAAATAAACGTCTGAAATAAAATAGAACAATCGTTACAACAATGAAATTATTATCATCAATTATCAATTAAAGTATTATCATCATTTATTTATTTTTCACTGATCATGACAAAGTAATAATCACATAAAGCTGTTAAAAGTAAAACCCCCGTTATCACTAAATCGTTTACTGTATTTACAAGTATTATAATTATTAGTTCGCGCATTCGTCGAATGCTCGCATACGACGCGCTCATCGTTTCCATTTTTTTATTTTTTTATTTTTTATTCATTCATCGTTTGTTTTCTCCTCTCTCTCTCTCTCTCTCTCTCTCTCTCTCTCTCTCTCTCTCTCTCTCTCTCTGTCCATTCTTCGACCAACGATAAATATATATATATATATAATATATATAATTTTTTCTTTTTCCTTTTACACTTTTTTCTTTTTTTTCTTTTTTTTTTCCTTTTTTTTCTTTTTTCTTTTTATTCATTTGTTTTATTCCTCCTTTATCCCGGCGTATCCGTGTCGCTCTGCTTACAAAAATTAGGTAAGTAAAGCTAAAAAATTGTCTCTATCTTCTCTTCTCTATCTTTCTCTCGATTTTTTTTTTTTTTTCGACAAAAGCGCACGTAGAAATTCTCGCTCTTTATCTCTTTTCGTTTTTTCTTTTTCACACTATATATATATTTATATATATCTCTCTCTCTCTCGCTCCCTCTTTCTCTCATATACTTTTTCTCCCTCATTTACTCCCTCCCTTTCTCTCTCTCTCTCTCTCTTTTTCTCTCTCTAATCTCTGGCGTAAGAAACGATATAATTGGTACCCGAAACCCCGTTTAATGAAAATCCTTCAAATAAAATACTCTAGTTAACAATAAATTATTAAATATCTATTCACAAATATATGCATAGGCTAATTATCGTTTTTATTACTATCTTCATCACCGTCAATCTATCCTCATCGATCATCGTCGCCGTCGTCGCCATTGATCGGTTAACTCCCCTACGTTTTACAATTTCCTTTAGACGGGACAACGGCTTACAACGGTTTTCCCATTTTCTTTTTTTCTCTTTATTTTTATTTTTTTACTTTTTCTTTATTTTTTTTCTCTCTTTCTTTGCTACTAAGTATATCAACAGCAAAATAGAATTGTTTTGTTCGCAATTGGTTTTTTTTCTTTTTTCTTTTTTTTTTTTTTTTGTTCTTGAGAAATGCAGGAAAACGAAGATTCTGCTCGTCCAATTCCGAGTGAGCTGGTTCACGCGCTAGAAGACACTGAAGTTTAGTGATTCGTCCATCGTTACCGAGTCGTAGAAACGATTTTCTCCTTTTGGAAAAATTGGATTTCGGCGATATTCGTTGTTTTCTTTCAAAAAAAAAAAAAAAAAAAGAATTGAAAGGAATTCAGAGGAAATAAAATAGACACGTTTCTTTCTCCCGAATCTTTCAATTACAATCTCCTTCCTGCTAAAAAATTTATAATAAATATTCTCGAACAAAAACGATCGTCGAATATTAATTTAATACTTTCGAATAAAATATGCAAACACTATCTTAAAAATATTCTTTTCTCCTCTTCTCCGTGCAATTTCTTATGTACTATGCTATATACCTTAATACGAGGAATCAATAATATTTAATAAATGAAAAGCAAATTGCAAAATCGTTTCGAAGAACTACAGTAACAATGAATCGTCCACGAACGAATAACATTCGCAACTATATATATATATATATATATCAATAATTATATCAAAGGATTAACGTATCTCTTGGAAACGCGACGATGAATACGAGAAATCCGAGTCGAAACCACCTGTTTTCGTATCGATCGATCATCCCGTATCATCGTATCGAGCATTTCGTATCATTATCATTCTGTGAATGATAGAAAAAAAAAAAAAAAAAATAAAAAAAAAAAGAAACGTACACCTGTGTACCTCGTGTGTATATATACCTCTATGTATATGGATGTACATTTTTATGCTGTCTTGCTTTCGCGCGTTCCGAGGATGAACGCTCAAAAAAAAGTGAATTGTTTTTCTTTTGGGCGGCCATCCGAGGTCGAGGAACGAAGAAAAGGCAAGAGGCGTAAAGTATACGCGTTATATATTTATATATATATATTTTTTAAGTAACTTTCTGGCCGTTTTAATCATCGACGAGTGCGATGCTCGCTGATTGTTTGAAAAACGGACGCGGGAAAAATGGTCGAGATCGGTAATCGTCCTCGTGCAAGGAGGACGCTTCCATTCTTCGATGATTCCCGGCCCCCGTGTGTGCTTTCAACCGCGGCAAACGATAGTTTCAAACCCGTGAAAAAATAAACCGTTCTCTCTCTTCGATTCGATTCTTTCTCGTTCCATTATTGCTCTGCCTCTCTCTTCTCCGTTAGAAAAATATAAGTTTCCTCTTTCGAGACCCATGCCAACACTCTTAAGTCGAAGAATATTTTTGCTCGCGAAGATTCGTGAAGATTCCTTCGTGGAAGAAGAGGAAGATTTGGAGGGTTGCATCGGATGTCGTCGAACGCGAGATGAACGGGCAGTGTTTCGAACTTTTGAAGTTCGTTCCTCCGTCAGACGTCAGAGCCTCTTTATTTATTTATTATTATTATTAATTATTTTGTAAGCAAATTTATAATAACGAACTTCTTCTTCCTCTTCAAGAATCTTTAATCTCGAAACAGGTCGTGAGTATATATCATCGACTCGTCAATCAACATTTCGATCGATTTTGCAAAAATAACTCTTTCAAAATCTCTCTGTTGATCTACGTTCTTTAATGATACTTTTCAAGTATCATTTCCAATGTGTTATTCCATCAAAATTTCCCATTCTTTCTCAAAGTTCCAAATTACCAGAAAACCATAAAGCAAAATTTCTCTTCTCGCTCCCTTCCTTTTCTGAATATCCCTTAAACTATCCGTTTGCCGCGATTCGAATCTGCAATCTTGAGACTCGAGAAATTCGAGAGAACCCGAATTTAAAACAATATCTCACGCATATATAACATACACATATCTCTCTCTCTCTCTCTCTCTCTCTCTCTCTCTCTCTCTCTTGCGCACATTCGTTGCAAAGCCTATACAATTACACCCCCTTCCCAATTACCGCTATATATAACTCTGCTCCCTACGCCTCGTATAGAATATGACTTTCTTTTTTTTTTTTTCTTTTTTTTTCTTTTCTCCATTGAAAATCTCTTCCTCCCTCTTATTTTTCTTTTCTATGTACACGCTAGTTTTTTTTTTTTTTTTTTTTATATCGATTGCTACGTTCGTTTCTCTAAACTACACGCGCGCGAGTCGTCCCGCGCGCCGCTTTTTCGCTTTTCCCCTTTAACCGGAAACCGCGATCGCCTCACCCCCTATCGTCGACGATACACGTTCAAGCAAAGGAGTACGTCTTTGAGATTTTGAACGGGCAATACAGCGATCCCTAGAAGACGATCCACGTGTGTGTGTGTGTGTGGATCGCGATAAATCGCAGTAATCGGCGATAATTGCTACATTCGTCTTCTAATTGGGATACGAGATCTCGAGAAACGTAGGGATCAATGGAATCGCGATTAGCAGATAATTAAGTGGCTAATTAGACTGCGGATTTTCATGGATGTTCGATTCCTTTATTTAATCGAATCGTAACAAAGTTTCGTTTTTAATCCTTGAAGATTACTTTTTACAATAATTTTAGAGTCTCTAATTATATATTATTTAACGAAATCGTTATGGCGGATATTCTTTTGGAAGCGAACAACGCGTATCGTTTAATCCATTCAATTGAATCAAGATCGTTGAAATTAAGAAAAAATATTCAGAAACATCGAGCCTTTTCTACAATCTCGAATGAGATATAGAAATGAATTAAAAAAAAATACGTACGGTTTTCTCTACTCTTTTTCGAGCAGATTTTGACGATCAAATTTTCCTTTTTACATAAAAATTCCATCCAGATTTATAGAGTAATGCGAGCATAATTTCTGTACATTATAAAAATCCGCAGTCTATTAATTATGCAAGATTCGATACTGAAATCTGAACGCATTGCAATATCTCGCTGCTATTTAAATATCGTTCGACGTTCGTTACGATTTCATATTCACACGACTCGAGTGTACGATTCGAATGACTCTTTATATTTTAAATTGTTTTACGCAATTTATATATATATTTTTTGTTTTAAATGTACAATGAAGAAACGATATTGCTATCGGAAATATAAAAATATCGAATCGTACAATGTCGATTTGATGACAAATCGGAACGACATCGTATTATCAATAATTCAGAAGAGGGGATAAGAATCGATCTCGGTACATTTTCTTTTTCTCTCTCTCTCTCTCTCTCTCTCTCTCTCTTAGAATCCCAATAACGTCGCGTTTACAACTTTGCATTGAACGCGTGAACGTCGACAGGACGGAGAGACACGCGTTTCTCGATTCGTTTAGCACATACAAGGAAAAAATAAAAGATCCGCGCGCGTAAACACTGAAAAGTACAGGGGGCTGCACGTTGATCCCGGCATGGCTGAAAGACCTTTCGCGACGAACTCGTTGGAGGTGACGCTGTGTTGAACGCGAGAATCGATGCAACGGTGATTGCAAATATTACGTCATTTAACGAGATCATCCCATAAGTAACGATGTTTCGTGGAAACTTTATAAAAGATAAATAGAAAATTCGGTTAAAAATTGTGAATTCGATTAACAATTGAAACGTTCGTCAATGTAATAATAAGAAACTCGTGTGTATGTGAGAAAAATCGTGCGTAAATACTTATGAGATGAGCTAATATATATATATATATTTTGTTGTTCGAAGGGTAACCCTCTTGGGTTTTAATATTTTTGATTTTAGATAATGCAATGCTCGTTTCGAATGAAAGTTCGATCTCTAGATTTAAATATTAAAAAATTTAAAAATCTCGAGGCTTAAAGTGATCGCTTGATGATATAGGCACGATTGTTGTGGATAATTGACTTTTCGGTTTGGTTTCTCGTTCGTCCAACGAAAGAATTAACTTGGAAGAATTTCGCTTCGAAAGCAATAGAATACAATAGAAAGAATTGATATTACAATGAAACTTACGAACTAATTTCAATAATATTCCAATATTTAGCCAATAAAATTGACAAGCAATGCATGTTTCGCGATATTGGCTGAAACATCGAAATATCGTAATAAAATATCGAAATCACCTTAAATATGTATCAAACAATTATAAATACGTTTTATTATATATCAATGGTCGAGTAGTTAAAATAAGTTAATTCTTTCATCGATCCACAAGTACGAACATACACACGCACACACACGCACACACGTACACCAAACCTCTTGGAATCTTTCCTCGAGCTTCTCCGCACGTCCGTTTCTTTTCCATATTAGATTCATAAAGATTTAAACTACGAATTCCATAAGAAAAGTTTCGCGCAAAACTTCTTCGAAATTTTATCCATCGAGTAACATGGAAGCACTTCGCGATTCGCTTTAAAATTCAGCCGAAACGATCGAGCGCGAAAACAAAGGGATATGTAAGGAACTTTTAAACGTAACCCATTTACGCGATCCACCATCTTAAACTTTCCACTCGTATATCTCCCCAACAAAATTTTCAAATCTCGCTCGCAAGCTTTCAATCGTGTCAAATTCAAGAGAGAACTCGGAGAATATCGAGCCAACAACGAACACTCCCCCTGGCATAAATGGGTTCGTATCGATGAACGCGTTATAAAATAAACAAGAATAAATATTGTATTTTATCTGTTTGCCGTTTGAATTATAAAGATATCGCGCCGTAAGGAAGGAAACGAGGGCCACCCTTCGCCGATTATAAATTATATCGCACGTTTCTAAAACAAAGTCAATGTTCAAATCTCGATTAACAATTCCATGAAATTGTTTCTGAACGAGAAACGCGCGTAATGTATCGTATCATGTTAAAATAAAGGATGAAACGAGGATGAAATCGTCGGCGTGAGAGAACGTGGCGCGTTCTCGTGTGTGTCGATCGAACGAATTATTTCCATCGGCGCTTTCTGCCACCGAGATGATCGAGGCGCGGTATACGTGTCGCGTTTGTTCAAAAAAGATAGAAAAAGATAGAAAATGCCGCGAAGAGGAAGGTTGTTTAGGTTGTTGTTTGAAAAGTGGCAAGATCGAACGATGGTTAAAAAGATCCATCGATCGATCTTCGATCACGAAGGATTGGTTTCCATCATATTCCTTGAAAAAATTCGTGACCAATTATTATTTATTTCCATTCAATCATTTTCTTATATTTACGAATACCCCATATACCGATTATTATCTTTGTAATTATCATTTCATATTTTTTGATGTATTATCTTTTTCTTTTTTTTTTTTTTCTTAATTTTTCCTCCTCGAACGTTGGTTTGCCACGTTTTCAAAAAAAAAAAAAAAAAAAAAGAAGAAGCTCGAACAGAAGGAAGAACGAAAAGAGAAACACCGATCGAAACGGCGATTGTTCCAGCCGTAATCGTCGATAAATTCGTGGAGTGGAACGTTCGAATAGTAGAATATATCATAATGATTATATCTTCTTCGATCGATTGGATCGTTTTTCTGTCGCAGGCGAAAAAAAAAGAAATGGGCGAAGCATTCAGGCAAAATTGTTAAAAATTTCGATCTACTCTCTCTCTCTCTCTCTCTCTCTNTCTCTCTCTCTCTCTCTCTCTCTCTCTCTCTCTCTCTCTCTTTCTCTCTCTCTCTCGCCCTTTCGCATCCTATTTCAAATTCTCCCTTCCCACATTCTTATTTTCATACATTCTCTTATTTTCTCTCTCATTCTTTCACTCCCTCTTTCTCGCGTGTTTTCTATTATTATTTTTATTTTCACACACTCGCTCTTTTTTTCGCTATTTACAAACGTACTCTGTTGTCTTGTGTCTTGTGTGTGTGTGTGTGTGTGTATGTGTATATCTTTATGTAAGTGTCTCAGATGCAATATATTTCCTCGTTTAAATAATGTTCGTTATTATCTCCCCACGCTCCCTTGTCCCCTATTATCTTGTTTTACCTAAAATAATTATTTTTAATTATTTCACAGGCGATGACATGTGGTTTTCGGGATGAGTATTCACATCGTCGTACCGCCTCCCCCACTCTTTTCATTTTTCTATTTTCATTGTTCGTCGATCTGTCTACAATTTCACAATTAATAACGTTTTTCTCTGATTTGTTCTTATTCTCTCTCATTCTCTCTCATTCTTTCTCTCTCTTTCTCTCTCTCTCTAAATTCAGAAACGTTCGATCACTGCTTTACTTTTTTTTTTTTTTTTTTCTCCCCTCGTATCACGTACACCGTCGAATTTTTTCGCGTTCTTCTTTATTTACATCCCTCGTAGCCAAATCGTTCCGACTTCGTTTCTTCTTTTCATGGATCACGTTGCTCTTCTTTCCTGGTGCGCAGCGGAGGACTTCCGGTGTTTCAAGAGCTGTTGAAGGGGTCTCACTGCGTCATCGGTGCGTGGTTTCTTCGAGGTATGAGGGTTCTTTGAATTATAAAGAGGGAGCTGGCCGGTACAGGGGATTGCCCCTGATGGGAAGCACGTGCGCCTCGGAGTTGAACACCCATTCGTCTAGATTTATGAGATCGTCGTCGCTGAACAGCAGATAGAGATACTAGAAAAGAAAAGAACAAAAATTTAATAATTATTGATCATTTCTCCCAATTTAACTATTAACTAGGTTTTAACTATTATATTTTTTTTTTTTGTATAATTAATTCAAGAAATTTCTTTCTAAGAATTCGTAAAATTTTATTATGTAGAGTACTTTGTTTTAAAACTCGATTAAATCTTTAATTAAAACAAAGAAAAATTTAAACCGCTCTCTAACTTCGAAGATAATGATCCTTCATCAATGAATGAAAGATTATTAGATGTAGGGAACCTTTCTTTTTAAAACGCTTTTTCGTTTATCCCAATACGATTTCCGGTTCCGGAGATATTACCGTGTAAAACAAAAGGTTTCTGATTTTTAAACATTCACATTTAAGAAAACTTTGAATCGCTGTAACTCCGAAGATAATGACTTCCGGTTGACAAATGAGCGATCATTCGAAACGCGGAACCTTCCCCTTTAAAACGCCTTTTCATTCATCCCGATACGATTTCCGGTTCCCGAGATATCGTCGTGTAAAGCAAAGGATGATTTTTAAACATTTACCTAAAATTTAATCAAACGGTATTAAAATTAGAAAAACTTTGAATCGCTATAACTTCGAAGATAATGACTTCCGGTCAACCAATGAGCGATCATTCGAAGCGCGGAACCTTTCTCTTTAAAATGCTTTTTCATTTATCCCGATACGACTTCCGGTTCCCGAGATATCGTCGTATAAAGCAAAGGATGATTTTTAATCGTTTACCTGAAATCTAATTAAACGGTATTAAAATTAGGAAAACTTTGAACCGCTATAACTCCGAAGATAATGACTTCCGGTCAACCAATGAGCGATCATTCGAAGCGCGGAACCTTCCTCTTTAAAATGCTTTTTCATTTATCCCGATACGACTTCCGGTTCCCGAGATATCGTCGTGTAAAGACAAAGGTAATTTTTAATCGTTTACTATTCCCATCCTTGTCGCTTATTCGGACCTCTCGCTCGCACCTCGTTTCGCTGACCTATCCCAAATTGCAGACAAGCGACAGACGCGATTCTTGGAAAAACGTAGTACGCGTTTCCAAGAAATAATGTAGGTCACTGGGTCGCGAGCCCATTCATAATTTGCGATGCGCTGTCTCCACCGCTATGGAAACTTTGAATCCTTATATCTCGGTAACGGATTGAGATATCGGGATAAAACAAAAAGCAATTTCAATGGCACAGTATCCTCTATCTTTTGAATGGGTTTTGATGACAAAATTTTTAGTTTTTTCCTACGTTTTTTGTGTGAAAAATCGAAGCATGCAACAGTTTGTTATCGTGATATAAAATATATAAGGACGTAATGTAGCATATTTTACATAAATGATGTATGATAGTTAAATATTTGAACAGTTGCATGAAAATTTGATGTCTGCTGTCTACAAATTCTTCGTTAAATCTAGACTCTTCACTTTTTTTGCTTTTATATGCCTTTTGATCGTTTCTCCTGTATATCAGAAACGGTTGTTTGCCTTTTACCACCATCTTTAATACGAAGTTAAAGAGCCAACTTGGGATAATGCAATTTTAAACGCGTTGCAAACGCTCGAAAAATATTTCACGCGAAAGGTTAAACGAGAATTCGTGAACGCGAACGGTGTAACGATGCAAGAGAAATGTTCGTTAATTGGGAATGGGAATAGATTGTGGTAACATGGTGCACCACGTGTTAATAGCAGTATCAAAGTTGATCTTCTTAGTTTACTGTGAAATGGAAAATAAAACAAGGATCGTTCACGTTACTATTTCTATCGATTAAGGTATTTCAAGGTATTTCAAAGTAGAAAATTTCTCGTGCAATATATTTCATTCTTTTCTTCGTTTAAACGAAAATTTCGTGATTAATGTAAATTAATTGATATCTGCAATAGAAAAATACTACTAAAATATAAAATATTCTCTTCGTTTAACACGATACCTTTGATTTAACTCGATTCTTTCCACTTTTAATTAATATTGTGGAATCATTGAAGGAAAATTAAACTAATATGAATGATAATCTATATTATTTAATAACACAGATAGTAATCTGCCTAATTCAATTATTTTCTAATGAATAAAAAATTTTCTGTATCAATTAAAAGAAATCACATGTTTTTGACAATTTATCGTAACGCGATATTGGATTTTGCATCGAAATAAAATCACGCTTCTTGCAGCAGAATTTTAGCTAATATTCCGTTAATTGAACCTGTGTTTAATCCACTTATCCGAACGCGAATTCCCATCATTTTGATTAGTAACTATTAAAGGGAATTAACGCCAAGTTTAAGGGAAGTATTAGCGAAGTTCCACTACAGGAAATGCATTTACATATACGCCTGTTTAATTTAAATCTCATGGATTATCCATACGCGATTCTATTTTGAAATTTCTAACTATAAAATACGTATGCACATCGTATCACAAAATATTCAATATTATATTATAAGAATCTCGAATCTTTATCGTCGCTGTATACAATTTAACGATGCAATTTGATATTTCCAAAGAAATATAATTCTAAGATTAATCTCCTTCCTAAAAAAAAAAAAAAAAAAAAAGAAAAAAAAGAAAAAAAAGAAAAAAAGAAAAAGAAATCAGAGAAATCTTCTCCGTACCTTGAGCGTCTCGGCGAAAAAGTAGCTCTGTTGGACGTCGTCCTGTGGCGGATCGACCAGGTAAACATTGTGGAGTCCCGTGAACCCCCCTGGAACACGGCAGTATTTCTCGAGAGCTTGAACGGCCTCCCATCCCCATTCACGGTACTTGGGATCCTTTGTCAGCCGCCACATCACGAAGTACGATTCGAAGGTCTGAAAGAAAAATATTTTTACCTCGGAATTTGGCGAGCGGCCCCCGTTTGTCCCGTCGAAATCACGCGAAAAAGAACGGATTGAATATTTCAGCTTTCATTACCGGTCGAGAAAACATCCGGAAATAAATGCTGAAACGTTCCTCTCAGCCTCCCCGTTTCTTTGCTCGCCCCATCGCTTCCAATGGAATGCTTGGTTTAAAACGACTTATGCATCTCTCTTTTCTTTTTTCTCCCCCCCCCCCCCCCCCTCATTCTCGTTCAACGATACGCATTCTCGCACGAAGAATCGAAGAACAGAACAAGTATTCACTTCTGAATTGCTCGTTTCGATTGTATTTCGAACAAAAATGAAGCGAAGGATCGAGACTTCGCTTCCAAGTCTCGCGAAGTTTTTCCAAGGCCAGGATTCCTCTTCTGTTTCTTAATGTTTTTCAAACATTTTTATCTTTATTTCCGTTTATTCTTTCGATATTTGTTCGATATTTATCCGATCGATATTCCCTTCTCTTTTACTCAAACAAGAAAAAACGTAAAATTTTCTTACCTCCGGCCGAAGGATGTAGTATTTCTCGCCGTTCTTCAAGCTCTTCGCCTCGTTCCCCTCGATGAAGTGGAAGGCTTCGGGGCCGAGTTTCGTGTAACTTCGATCGTAGGACTCGTGGCACGTGTTGGTGAGACCGGCGGCTATCGTCATGTATCTATCGGACAATTCGTTTTGCAATGTTTTCGCGCCTAACGCGAACATACCACCTGGGGAACAAGCGAATCAAATTTCTTCTTTTTTTTTTTTTTTTTTTTTTTTCTCTCGAGAAAACGAATACGAATTGGAATATAATTCGTTGTTTTATTTTTTTTTTTTTATTATATATTTTTAAATTTTATATTGGAAAGGAAAGGGTTCAAGCTCACCGGCGAAACACGCCAGATGACCCATTTTGTGTTCCAGCCTGTCGTACTTCAAGTCCGACACGTAGAGCAGCTTGCCCTGCGACGTCTTGATCATGTGTTGATCTATGGCCACGATCGCCTCGTCGTACATTTGCCGGGCCTCGACATCCTCCTTGCCGGATTGGATCCACGCTTTCAGAAGATATTCGTAGAAACTGTCACCGAGCCCTCCCAGCGACATGTGATCTGTCGAAAAGAATGCTCTTTATTTTCTACAATAATTTTTCGATCCTTATTTTTATATAAGAGAGAATGATATAACACAGTGGTAATAAGATGATTTAACGTGGAGAGGCATCGTACAACGCGTTGAGAAACGAAAAATAAATCTGACGATACGTATAAATTTGCAAAAGATTCCGAAAGGGATAATTTATCCATGATTATACGATTTCAATGATAATAAACAAGTTGACAGGAACAGAGATTGAATCATTTCATAAGAACGATATCAAGTAGGATATAAAGATAGGATAAAGATCCTATAACGATGATCCAGGTGCATTAAAATAATTCAATAATTCGTAAAAGAAGACGGTTTACTTGAAGCTCAGAGATGGATAAATAAATTTCATCCCCCCGGAATCAAATTCAATCCAAATTCTGTGGAATTAATTTATGAAATCACGAAGAGGGAAGGGAGGAGGAAAGGAGCAAGCTCGTTATTAAAACAACTCGCGAATTCCTCGCCATTCCTCTTAAGCTCATTATAAGGTGGACGGAGAATACTTGGAAAATCTACTGGGTTGTCCCTGTCGACAAGGGGTTTCTATCTTGAGACAACAATCGAGAGACATCTCGAAATTGGAAGGAGCTATCCGTTTCATAATTCTCTTCGTCCAATTGGGGGAGGAGGTAACTTTTCCTCATTGAATTAGAAACAAAGAGGGGAAGGAAACGAGACGAAGGGGAGGTGAAACGCTTCTCTCAGCCACTCTCAGTCAGAAAGAGAGAGAGAGAGTCACTTCTTCTTCGACACATTCTTTTTTTCTTCTTCTTCGTTCGCATTCCACTCCATTCAACTTAACCCTGGCTCTCAGTAAAGTCCTCTTCTTAAAAGCCAAATTCCAGTGGCGGATTAATAAACTACGATCATCCTCATCTTCGTGGAAAATCGTGGGAGGACGTGGCCTATTACGAGGCAGGGGTGAATCTGGACAAGGTCCTCGAAGGCGATGAGGGTAGGAGGAGGGATGGCCTGGGCAGTCGGTGCACGCGAATATATCCGCGAGGTTTCTGCACGGAGAAGAGGGTTTGCTGCTCCGACGACTCGTCTGGGACAAGGGTGCAGGGAGACAAAGAGCGAGTCGAGCTCGGTTTTTTACTCTTCCAGCGTTTCCTCCGTTTTCCTCCAACCCTTTCTCGCTCAAAACCACGCTCGAAGGGATCGAAACAGAGGGAAGAAGGTAAATTGTTAGGAGAGATTTTCAAACAAACTGAGGTGAATTTTTCTTTTTTTTTTTTTTCGCTCGAATCTCTTTGAATTTCTCTCTTTCTTGTTTCGCGTTTATCACCAAGAAGAGAAATTAGAATAGAGAGTTAAAATCAACTCGAATATTCAGGAAAATCCTCCTCGAGTGCGTTGCTTCGGGAATCGATTTCGCACTCCAGCTGCTCTCCCTTCCTCCGTTCGCAAACACCACGAGGAAATTTCTACCTGGCCGGGATAATTAGCTCTCCCCTCCCTCACGAGTAGCCTCGTGATTCAATAGAACTATAAATTTAAACAGGAAGCCCCCGTTTCCTTCCATCGTGGATAAAGGAAAAGGGGGCGACGGAACGGATGAGAGGACGGAAAAAGAAAAAGGAGAAGTAGGAAGGGGGAAGAAAGTAAATAAGTAAAAAGATGGTGGGGAGGAAGGGGATGTAAGAAAAATACAAGAGCGGATGAAGGGGGTGCAAACGAGAGAGAGAGAGAGAGAGAGAGAGAGAGAGAGAGAGAGAGAGAGAGAGAGAGAGGCAGATCCAGATGATAAATATTCGTCATACGACGGAGGAAAATACAAGGTGGAACAAGGAGGGAGGGGAGAAGAAGAGGATTTAGCGGCCCGAGGGGATGCGAGCCGTGTGATAAATGCGATATTCGGTGTGCAAAGAGCGGCCACCTCTCTCCTCCCCTCTTCCCCCCGAGCAGGCGGAAGCGCAAAAGGAAGCCGAGGAAGCAACACCCTCCTCCCTCTCTATCCTTAGCCTTCCGTCGCGTCGAAACTATTCCACCGATATAATTGATAGCCGTCAGATTAAAAATCTATTTTGCCTTGAAATTGTCGGGGCTCCCGAGAGGAAGATTTATTAAATGAAATTACAGTAATAAAGCATCGGGCCGCATTTACATCCGACATTGATCGTTGTTCCACGTCTCTCGCTCCTTTTTACCCCCTCCCTCCCTCCCTCCCTCCTCCTCCCTTTCTCCTCCAAAGATTCCTCGACCGACTCTTCCCTTCTTCTTTTTTTTTTTCCTCAGGGTCGTCGAACGCATCGACGATTTTCTTCAGTTGTTCGGACGAAAACTCGGTTTTACACTCGCCTACGTTTTGCCACGTTTCGAGAATTAACCCCCTTAGCTAAGGGAGACGGTTCCCTCTTATTGGAATAAGCGAAATGAAATTTATTATTGCACGAGGAAGGAATAATTAGGCCTCCGATGTTTTTGCGGGCGAAGCAACGATCGTTGCCGCCGGAATTGATGCGGACGATGATTTAAGTTGCTCGGGAATGGGATTACTCGGCTACGCTGTATATAGTGTGCAACACCTTGCGAGATTTATCGTTGCTATTAAGAGGTTCGTCTTCTCTCTCTCTCTCTCTCTTTCTCTCGTGGTTAAGTTGCTCGACAAGGGGAACAGGGGTATCGGGTATGAATGAAACGGAATTTAATTTGTTGCTATGTATTTCGAAAAATAATTTTGATAGATTTTGATATACGTCTCTTAACTGCTCGAATTTGTTTCCTCCTCAACTTTTAAAGGTAACTTCGAAAAAAAGCTTTAAAATATACGAAACAACACAAAATGAATAAAAATAAATTAGAAACAAGTTTAATTTCTTCTTAGCCTTCGAATATTTGGATTGGAAATTTGAGATCTAGTGTAATAATCAATCAAATTGAAAATTTTCCAGGTATCCTTCTTAGAGTTTAGATGCACAAAAAATAAAAATAAAAGCAACTCACGTTGGCCCCATTTCCCCGTCTTCGGATGAATATAGTTTGGATACAGCCCCTTCGGTTTCTCCAGATTCTTCAGCACCTTCCTCACGTTCTCGACCTTGCTCTTGAAAACCGGATTCCCGGTGATGTCGCTTAAATAGGTGAATTCGAGGTGCATCGTGCCAATTTCGGACAGGATGCTACACCCGCTGCTCGCCCACCCGTAATTCTTGCTCGCCTGAAAATTTCCAAACCGTTTCTCCAATTAATTCGACGAGTCGAGGATGGATAAAGAGATAGATAGAGAGAGAGAGAGAGAGAGAGGGGAAGGGATGTTTCGCGAAAGGCGAGGAGAGTAATCAGTGACGAAAGTCGGTTGAATCAAACGGATCCAATTAAACGGAATAACAAAGAACGGCCGGTGTCTCGTGTTTATAGAGACGGTTTCGAAGCGAATACGGATCCGCCAAGATAAATATTAACCCGAGACCGTGGAAAATTACCGGTACAGCCATATTGAAAACGATCCCCTCGAGAAATTTGATCGAATTTTCGCCTCGAAAGAAATAGATACTTGATTGCCTTTCAGAAGAAATCTAACTGGTTTTTGGTTAACTTGGTTTCTCGAGGTGATTCGAGGAATTATTTTAAGATATCCCGGTTTTCAGATCGAATTAGATAAATTCGATGATCGACGCGTATCGACTTTTTTTTTTCCCAATAAATATGAAAAGATTTTTGCACACGTGTTCAGCACGAATCGTTTTGAATTTCTCGCATTTTTGTAATCTCGAATGTGTTAAAACAGAAGAGCATTGAATTTATTTGATGCGCTGATTTTTATTAGATTGGTATTTCTTTAAAAAACGTAGGCAATAGTATGATAATGGAGAGTTATTTCAGTTGCAAATATATATATTCTCCGCAGAAAATTGTAAATATCTTGGTAAGTAAAAGGGATCGAAATTGATTTCGACATTTATTTAGTGCACTTATCGTGTCCGCGCGAAACAAAACAGTTTCAACCGGATTTCCATTCGAAGGGGCCAAGTTTTCCAGCCGGATTCCAGCGGACCACGATTTTCACGGCGTCACGCTCTCACCATGAGGGGAGAGTGAATGGAAAAAGCCGTCGAAATCGGCACTCGTGTCGTTCGGCGCGAAAAAATTGGATGGAAAGGGGATGGATGAAAAAAAAAAAAAAGAAAAAGAAAGGAAAGGAAAGAGAGCGATGAAGCCACGTAAAAAGAATGGAATAAATAGCCTTTCTTTTTTCGAAGTCAGAACTTCGAAATGCCGCGTGAAACAAAAAAAAAAAACAAATCGTGATCTCGAATAATAACGAAAAAAGTATACGAAAGATGAACGAAATATTCCGATTTATACTTTTTAAAAATATTTTTTCAATATAAATCCGCAAAGATTTCTATTATTGCTTACGAGACAAGTTTCAGAAATTTTTATTAACATAATTCTCAAAGAGGTTGCGCGACTCGAAAATTCAAACATCATCGGGAAGGAGAACAAAGGAGGAAGAAAGTTCAAAGGGAATGGCGTGGGCGAGGAACGAAGCGGAGGATCGTAAGATGGACAAAAATGACGAAACACCGGCTTTCGTAGCCTCGTTATTCGTCCAATTAAGAATTTGCATATTAATCATAGCCTCGTCGGCTTCGGTTGAACGTTGTCGGAATCGTTTCGATTAAACCAACGGACGTACCATGTTTCCAATATACGCGCAAAAATCACTCAAAGATCTCCTTATTTTATTCGTCTTATTCGTAAAAAAAAAAAAAAAACGAAAAGAAGAAAGAATTTTCTTCCACACAAATCCCGTATATATCTCCTTTACCTTGATTTAATCTCATTTTTCCTTCTTTACGAGGTAACGACAAGGATAAAACAACAGCAACATCGATTAAATCGTCGATTATTAACTTTTAATTTCCAACTTGTTTGCGCCTTTACTCTTCCGATCCTTCGATTCTCCGATTACCCACTGAACTTTAAACTTCAGGAAACACTTCCACACGTGCCATCCCTCGATCGCAACAACATCCAACTTGGAAATTTCATCTCTCCTATCTCCAATTTCCAACCTTTAACCCACACCCAATTATTATTAAACCCAAGTTAACATCAACCCTCCCTCCCTTCACATCTCCCTAGATCCCAATTCCAATCCTGTTCCCAACCCACTCATTAATCACAAGCCAAGTCAGGAGGAGGGAGAGAGGCTTTCGATCCAAAGCTCGAAAAGTCGCGCCAATCGACAGAGGAGGAGCGGGAGGAGAAAAGAAATCGACCCCTCCCCTCGAATATTCGAGCCGGTTGTAAATTTGCGAAGAAACGGGCTTGGAGAAATGATTAACACGAGGGATAGGTGTAGCGGTATACCGATGTAAATCCTCCAAAACTTACCCCGGTGTGCAGATTGATGAGGGAATGAGGAATTCCGGTTTCCGTCTGGAAAGCGGGCAACATCCGCTCGCCGAGCTGAGCCGCCTTATCCCGGAACATCACGTCCCCCGTGAGAGCGTAACAGGCCAACAAGCTTCCCATGAAACGAATGTTCGTCTCGAAGAGGGATATCTCCGAGTTCTGGAACAAAAAAGAAAAAAAAGAATTAATCAAAGTGGGGGGAGGGGGATTGATATCGAAGGCTGACCCAAACGTTTCCCAAAGGAAAATTCAAAAGGGTATATACGTGTAAAGATTCGTGGAAATATATATATATATATATATATCGATAATTTCCTCTTCCTATTCGTCGATTCGTTGATTTCGATGCGAATGGGTTGTAGAATATCTAAAGAGAGGGTTTCGTAAATTTTCTTTTTTATTTAGAGAATAATTTTGATTCAAAATATTATATTGATATGCCTATATGCAGATGTATAGAAAAGATGTGATATTCGCACAGTTGCGTCACGTTTGATGCAACGTGATTTTACGTATCGTTATAATGGTGAATTACGATTCGCGACGTAGCAACGCGTTTATTTCACGTTCATGGCTAAATACGAGGGCAGATTAATGTTTTATAGTAACGTTATTTATATTTCTCGGTTTCGAATGGTCAACAAACCTAATGAAATATTACTGAAGGTATTAGAAAAGGAGGAGAGAGAGAGAGAGAGTTTGGTTTGGCGCACCTGAGACCGGTTCTATATCCATGCAACGTGGATTTTTGTGAAGTTCGGATCTGCTTTTTTTCTCTTTCTCTCTCTCTCTTTCTCTCTCCTGCTCCGTGTATATTTTTCACCCGTTTGTTACGCTAACTTACGTTACGTTGCTGCTCGCATTCCACGTATGCGTTTACCTATTTTCCTCTGCAAATGACGCGTATGCAACGAAGAACGCAATAACTTTTTCTTTTAGCCCCTCGTGATCCCGAGTGAAAAATATTTTGTGTTGTCGCGCAGGTGTAATAAAAAAATCAGAGATCTCGGGGAAAAAAAAGTTTTCTCGAAATCTTTGTCATTTTTCTTGCAATTCGAAACTTTCTAAGTTAAAATAAAAGTTTCCTAATGTTATTATTAAATTCGAATTTAAGGAATTTATTAATTCCTGGTAAAATGGATATTCGATAATTTCGACACCTCGCGAAATTTCGAATTCAAAAAAATCTCAGAGACAGAGAAAAGAGATGCAAAAATTTAAAAAAAAAATTAAAAGTCACGTTCTCTTCATCTTTGATCGTATCAAAGACACGTAGGAGATCTATTCGATCTATTTTAATAGAAGTAAAATCTCGTCCGTGATAGATGATCGTGGAGAGATACATCTGGACGAGAGGTATAGAAATTCCCTCTCGTTGACCGTATTCAACCCGCGAAGATTATTTACAAGCGAAGAAAAGGGAGGAAAAAGGGGGAAGGGAGGGGAAAAAAAAGTAAAACGAGAATGGTACTTAACTAAAGAGCGTCTGGAAAAGTAATTGCAAGGCGCGCAATTGCCAGCTGAATGGTGGACGGGTGAAGACAAATTATCGAGTATTCGATGTAATTAAACTTAATACTTGAACGTTAAGTATGCCATTAAAGGCGTTGCACAGAGTGGAAAGAGTGGCATAAGCCGGCGAGAAGGAAAATTCCATCGTGCGTAATGTATTTGGCATGGTTTCTCATCGTCCGTTTGCGATAAAAGCTTGATCAATTTTTCTCACGATGAAAGCATCGAGAAAATAGCCTTCTCGAGCACAACAAATCATTTGTTGGAACAATTTTGCATAAAATATTCAATTCAAACCTGGCCTTTCAAGTCTTTTTTCGACACGATAAAATATAATTGGTCGATTCTTTGGTTACAGTGTGTGTACATCGTATCTCGAAAAGATATCTTTAAAATATAAAAATGCAACGGATGAAAAGAAAAGTTAACGAGAGAGATGAAAGAGAAACAATTGTTTTAAAAGATATAAATGAAACGTAAGTGAACGAGACGTATGTATTAAAAAAATTACGATTAATCGTTTCGACGATGATTTATGATACGACGAAGGAGAGGAAAATTTATATGATAATTTATGAATTAAATATTATTGAATATACTCTCTCTCTCTCTCTCTCTTTGTTCAATGTATGTAAATAATTTTAACTATCGTCATAAAGTTAATGAAAATTTGATTGAAAATTAGATTGAAGAGAACGATGGGATTAGAAACGAGTTTAAAACGTGCGCTTTTTCCTTTTGATTCATTATGCGAAACGCGTCCGCAATGCAGGGAAAGGCTTATGCGAGGAAGCGTCTCAATTAGAATTACGCTGTTTCCTTACAGCTAAACTTCTAATTAATAGTAATTAACATACCTTGGCGAAGAAGAAAACGACGTTACGCTTACCGAATTATAGAATTACAGCGATAGAAAGGGATCTTTGAAAGTTAATTTTCTATTTCGTTTTATCGAAAACTTTTGTATTTAATCATTGGAAAGAAAGTATTTGGAAAAAATACAGTCGAATAATCTATCGAATCAAATAAACATTCCCAAGATATTTTCTCTCAATGAAATTCGAAAGGGATTTATAAGAATAAACAGAATTTTTTTTTTTTTACGAGAGAAGATTGGATCAACTTAGAGAAAACTTCCTTCTCAATTCCCTTAAGAACATTAAAAAAATAAGAAATTATCAACGACGATCGCAAAAATATTTCTTGTAATACCGACACAATAATCATTTTCACTTTTATCCAGAATTTTTCTCGCGTCATCGTTGTAATTAATCAACATCACGGATAATTTCCGATAATTCGTCCAATCCTGGCAAACAATCTCGAACGTTCGAACTGTACAATTTCGTGAACGAGTTGGCAAGGAATGCAATTTTAGATATAAACGGAGGTGCGATAAACACGCGAGATTTAAAGTTTCGAACAAGTTGCGTGTATATATATATATATATCTTATAGCTTTGTGCAGACGAAGAAAATTCGGTGATTAAGTTTCTCCGTTTAAGATTATTATTAGTTTGACGCGAGGTTATGAAGTTATTCTCCCAACTGTCTACCGCTTGTTTTGCTCCGCCCTTCTTCTTCTTTGCAATCCTCTTTCGATCTACGAGCTCGATCTCTCTTGCTTCGAAGATTATAAATCATTCCTTTCTTCTAACCGCGTTTAATTCGCGATTAAAATTTTGCGATTAGAAATAATTTTTTTTAAGGCTAGAATTATCGAGTCAAATTAGATTGGGAGTTTGTCCATGAATTCTTGGAATTTTAAGAATATTGGTTTTTTATTCAGAGATAAAAATATAATTATTTTCTCATTTGTGTGTAATTATATGTCGATATTACGTGGAAAAAATTATTGTTACGAGAATAGCGAGAATAATTCCGTTTGTTAAAGGATAGCCTTGGCTTTGAAATTTTTCTTTCGAAAATGTATTCGAGAAAGTAGAGAATTTATATTTATTATCTCGATAGATAATTCTCTAGAAAAATTGCGCAAAAATTTGAAAGTCCATCAAATATGTTTCAACGATAGAAACAAGTTAAAATTTTCTATGCTGAAATTTATTTATGTTATTTTGTTTATTTCTCGAATTTGTATCTTTGCAACAATTATAACAATCCCGTTCGAATTGGAAATGGAATTTGGCAAATATTTACGAGCAAAATATAAACGTTCCTCTCTCAGCTTCTCAGGTTGGCCAGATCTCGATAGATGTTCGTGTGCGAATGCGATCTCGTTTTCAGCCTGGGGCTACAATCAGCGAGGCATAGGTGTTAATTAACAAGAGCATGAAGATAGCATCGGAAACAGATGAGGGGATAATAATGCGTCGCGTTTACAACAGGTGGATCGTTCCTTTCCTTCTCATTTTCAATGGAAAGAAGAACACGGTTAATTGGCGTTCCATCCACTTGACATAGTGATAAAAGGTTTGGTTGCCGAGCTAAAAATACTCGCTATTCTATTACACTCGAAACTCGTCCTCATCATTATTCACCCATTATTTGTTTTACGAAGTGAATTAAGATCAGTACACCGATCAATCAGAAACCGTATTGCGTATTATTTTCTTCACATTGAATCATTATCAATCATATCATTTTTTCAGAAATCGAATAAAATTGTTATTCTGCGCGTAAATAAAGTAAGGGGGAAAAAATGAATAGAATTCTTCTTTTTTTTTAAATCCTTCCTTCTTAAGAAACAATTTCCAAATTTTCGATCGAAAATATACGAAATCCCCCTCCTAAGAGAACCAATCACCTCCAATCCAAGATCGATCCGTCCCGCTTCCAAAATAATCCAATTCGACGTACGTTTATTATATGATACGAGATATGAGAATCACTGTGCTCCTCCTCGGCGTCCACAGTTCGAGGCGTCTGAAGTGGCGTGATGCAACGAAATGCGCGTCCGTTGGTCATAAATAGCCGCGGCTGCAATTTGCCGCATCTCGGGCCCGGTCGTGCACCCGACAGGAAAATTGCAAAATACGGCCGGCTCCACCTGTCGTAATCGCGCCAGTTTATCCTAATACGCGAGATGCGCCGCAGACAGAGGTGTGCCATCAACGAGAAAGACGTAATCGGTCTCGTAACGCACTCGTGGCCGATCGTTCCTCGTAATCGGAACATTCAATTCCCGTATATACGCGGCTTCGAACAAATTGACGAGGCTCTCTTTCTCTCTCTCTCTATATATATATATATATTATCCTCTTGAACAGTTTCTTTGCATTTTATTTTCGGGTATCTGAGAATTTTCGGGGATTCGTTAATTTTTAGGAGGATTGTTTCGAATTTGATTTTAATTTTTTCTGGTAATTTAAGAATTTTCCACGCTAAGTAAAATTTCGTTTCGGCAATTTTAAATGATTAAAATTCGGGGGGATTGTCAATTTTTAAATATCTTCGTCTTATTCATCGAACATTCCCCAATTTCTCAAAAATTAACTTGTTAAACGAATGAAAACGAAAGAGAAAGAGAGAGGAAACAAAACGAGGATAATATCGAAACGATACTAGAAATTATCTATCGTTCGACCAAGAATTTCACCTATTACTCCATTACTTGTTACAGTAAAGCAGGATAAGAAATATATGCTACTTCTATCGAGAGAGAGAAAGAGTATACTAAAACCGATACT